AGCTCTGACCATCACCACCAAACAGCAACCTGAGTCCACTTTGACATTCTGCCCAATTTGATGCTGGTGCTATAAGATTTTATTATTTGTCAAACAAAAGCCAAAGTATAACTTCACATAATGCTCGACATTCCTAATTTTAGTGAAAAAAGTGCTTCTTGTAGGATTTGTCATAGAATACAACTTGTTTTTTCGTATTAATAGGACTTTTTCTCTTAATTTTATGACTATTCTTGTTGGGACTTTATTCCCGTAAGCTTACGACTTTATTCTCAAAATAGAAGGGGGGGAAAAATCTCTAGCCTGGTCCTAATACTCCGTCGAAAGGAGATGGGTTTTTTGTTCAAGAGATTGAATGCTGAAAAAATACTGAAAAAAAGAATAAAAAGAAAACAAAATATGAAAAGATGCTGCTAAAGCTGGTTGGATGGCCTTTCTATCCACCAGCAGAGTCCTGGACCAACATTGGCTAAAGGTCACTCAGCAATGAAGAAGCCAGCCCTACAGAACTCATATTTAAGTGTTTTGTCATAATAACTATAGTCTATATATGTAAAGGAAAAAGTGGAAAGTCTCTAAAGGCCTGAGGACATCCTTACTGGGAAATACAGGGGACATCATCAAGTCATTGTCTAATATTGTTGTAGAAGGGCTGATGCACTTTAGAAAAGCGAGTCACAGGAAAAGAAGGCATCCAAAGAAACATCTTAAAGTATCGGTCAGGAAATTAGTTGAATAAATAAGAGGAAAATGGGCCAAATTAGTAACAAGCAGCTTATAGCCAACACCAAGCCTTGAACTCACTCCCATTGAAATTTGGAAACAAAAAAACAGTTGTGTTAACAAGCAGGCCAATAAAACTGACCCAGTTCTCTAAGGAGGAATGGGCTAAAATTCCTACAAACTATTTATAAAAGTGTTTAGAAAGAAACTAAAACACATTTGATCAAACTGAGACAGTTTAAAAGTAATGGGCCTGCCTCTCCACTACAGTGTCTATGTACATTTGTTAGTTTGCCGGCAAAAACAGGAGACTTGACAGTCATCCGTTCATCTCACTCTCCAGCTCTCTCATGCATAAAAATAAAAATGTTAAAGATAAAACTCTAATTTGACTTACTCAGACAGAACTAAACATTCCACATTTTATGTGATAACAAATCCAAGAAGCTGCCGTGGATTTAAAATTAATTCATGTCTGACGTTTAGAAGAGTTTTAAGCACAACATGTTGCTGAACCTCCTTTCTTTACTTTCTATCCATTTTCTTTTCATGTTATTTCAAAAGTAGCTTGATCCCCCATAGAGCTAAATGACTGTTCTTTATTTTTACTAAATAATAACCAATTTAACTAGTGTCCCTGATACGCCAGCTGCAAGTGTAGTGAATTGATCGTTCTGTCATCAGTCCATAAAAAATACGTTATAATAGCTTGCCTGATGAAAAACTAGCTTTGAATAACAGCAGACTGATTGTGCAAGGCTCCGACTTCAAGTCTGGAGCACTTGTAAAATATTGTACCTGAGAGTAGAAATTAGGGGTAGAACGGTTCACAAAATCCACGGTTCGGTTCGGTTCATGGTTTCGTGGTCACGGTTTTCGGTTCGGTATATGTTGATCCCATAAAAATTGGGAAAATCCCATAAAACTTAACGAAAAAAAGCCCCAAAAATTAATGAATTGTAATTATTTTTAATGATCGGCAGAAACCATGGATCATGGACGGGAGCCACAGCGGAGGCTGTAGGCTTTGCTTTGAGCAGCCGGTCTGGAGTGCAGCGCAGCGGAGCGCTGACGGAGTATGTGGGATTTTGGGGTTAGCATGACATGTTGGTCATGTTGCTGTTAGCATAAACAAAACGTGTTGCACAATGCTTTCACACTGTTGCACTTTAATCCACAACTTTCTTTCCGCCGTCATCGTAGGTCACTCTAAATGCAAAGTGGTCCCATACAGCAGACCTATAAAGTGCTGCTGGCGCGTCTTCCAACTCCTCTTCTTTCCCACTCGCCATACCCACACAATTCTCCACAAAAACAGATTCTTTTCTGCTTCACCCGGCTACGCTGCTTCGCTTCTTCTTCTTCTTCTTGTTTACTACTGGTGGTTGGCTTTGGTCGCAGTAGCGCCACCTTCTGCTCTGGAGTGTAAACGCTTCGCCTATGAGAAAAAGGAGCAGCGCATGAACCGAACGCAACACACGTGAATAGAACCGAGACAGTCGAACCGAACGGTTCAGACAGTTTTCATAAACCGTCCCATCCCTAGTAGAAATGGGAGAAAAATTGTGAATTTTCTTTCTAAGAATCTATAAACAATTTAAGAATGATTTTGTTTGTAATAATGCTTCTTGGATGAGATCCATAGTTTATACATACTGAGGAGATGGATGGAACATCTGTGGAGGAAAATGTCTCTTTCTCCCTCATTATTCTGACATAAAGACAAAAAAACTGAACTCCTAACTGACGTAGAGCAGGATAACTTTAGTCAGATTCAATATCACACAGGAGCAAAGCATTGTTTAATATTTGAATCCTACATACTACCATTAAACCATATACAGACAAAGGTCCACTGTGCCTAAAAATAGTAAATGCCCATGGTGCCTGCAAACTTGGGGTTAGTGAGAAAACTCGACTAACATTTTGAATTAATGTAGTTCAGGTAAATGTGAACATGGTTGACAGCTTGTTAGGGGGCAGATTAATGATAGTTTGGTGAAAAGAATGGTGAGTTCAGTGTGTTTGTGAGTGCATGATGTAGATCTGAGGAGATATATTTCTCCTTTTTACTATGCTTGGTGGATATTTATTGATGTTTTGATCTCTTGGTAAGTCCTGATTACAGTTTTTTTGTCTCCTCACTGGAAACAGGACAAGTCGTCCCAGGCCCTCAGCCTGAGCAACGTGGCGGGGGTCTTCTACATCCTCGTCGGGGGCCTGGGTCTGGCAATGCTGGTGGCCCTCATCGAGTTCTGCTACAAGTCGCGCAACGAGGCCAAAAGAATGAAGGTGGAGACCCAGTCCCCTTCCCAAACCCAGTCCCAACACCCCCATTACCACCACTCCCACCGCCGCTGCTACCCCTGTCGCGCCGGCAGCCCCCGCCATAGTCCAGAGCCTAGCCAAACCCAAAGCCCCAGGCGCAGCAGCAGCATCCACAACTTAGCAGAATTTAGTGAGGTTTTCAATGGTTATGGCAGCGACGGGGAGGCTAAGATGTAGATGTGGTTTCCGTAGAAGCTTCACCCTTTGCTCCCCCCCTCACTAGCTCCCTGCTCAGAGACTGTAAGTGAAACCTGTTGCCTCACTTCCCTGTGCCCGCTCCGCCATGCTGAATGACTGTGGTGACCAGTGGCAAAAGCGCTTCCCACTTCCCTGTCCTAGCTTCTCACTTTGTGCTAATGTGATGTCCTGGTCTGCGTTTGAGCTTTCCCTCAGTGTGACAGGAGGTGATGAGTCATCCTCAGACTTTATGTCGTCTCTAACGCTTCGCAGTTTGAGTGGCTACAGAGACTGCACCTCATTCATCACACAGAAACCTTTTTTCCTAACAAAACAAAATAAGCATATTTTAATTTTCAGTCTCAATTTTCCAGAGAAACCACAGTAGATATAATAAAGAAATATTTCTCACTTACAGTGCCTTCCACAATTTGGTACATTTATTAAGCCGTGAAAATAATACCATATATGAAATATAGTGCATTGTAAACACCTATCTAGCTATCGGCATGTCTTAATTAAACACTTAATAAGGTAATTCATATAATTGGGAACCGCTTTGAGATCTTAAACAGATAATTAACCACAATCAAAAAAGGAAACCCAGACACCAACCCTCCCAGTGAGTTCAACCAGTCAGTTCTAGTTCTGTTTCAGCTCTCCTACTAGTGAGATATGTCCAGAAATCCTTCAATCAGAGGTGTCTCTGAGGCACAGATTCACAAGCTGCCTTAACTAATTCCTCTTAATATAGAGGAGGTAGAGCTAACAGGGGTGAGCAGACCAGAGAAATGCACGAGTTAATGCAGACCTAACACCCAATCTTAGGTAAACTACACATCAGGATACTTTTAACTCCTCTGTATGGCATAAAGAGGCAGTTTACGCTTTTCTGTTCAAGAAACAGACTCTCATCCCAGCTGGAAACCTTTCCAGTGCAGGCAGAAGATCATGTTCTGAATAAAGTAGTAGCCATTCAAAATTTCCACAAGTTCCTTGATGGATCCTTGGCTGGTCCTTGGCTAGTCCCCTACTATTCCTTTTTAAACATCTAAAGTATTCTTTTTAATAGTCATGATTTGTGGACATTAACACCTAAAGAGAAGCACCATCTCCTGGTCAGACCCTGTAATTCAGTGAAAGGGTGGAGTCAGAGTAAAACAATGTGCACACCCATGAGAAGGCCCTTGGCTGATAGTTGGAGGGGATTTTGCTGCCATTCGGCGGGCTATCACTGGGAAGGGCCATTTCGAATGGCTGCTACTGTACATCAACAGAGCGACATCATCTGCAAAAGGTCAAGCGGTTGCCCAATGCAGACACCCTTCTTCCAATAACCAGGCCCACTTGCATTGTGTACATGCTAGATTTGGTGCTAATCCTTTTCTTTTTCCATGCAAGGATCAGTGTTTTAACCCCCAACTCTCAGCAACACCAATAATATGCTTTCTTGTTGCATTCGTTAATAACTGGGATCAACTTCCCGCTTGTTTGCCAGTCCAAATACGTTCTTCCCAGTTCTTCGGAACGAGTTCACAGCCAGAACATTAAACATGTTTGGACATACGATGTTTGGAAGGTAGCTTTTAAAGTAGCCTGGTAATATCTGACCTGGTGATGAATGCCAGCTAAATGCCCAAAATTGAGTTTAGGACCGCAGTCCCAACACCAAACCAAATATTTTTTCAGATTTCCGCCTTTCTTATTGAACATTCTGCTAAACTCTTTTCTCTGAATTCCTCAGCATTTCTGAGATTTAGCTTCTGACATATAAAGGTTTCTGGTACAACTTAACCATCTTCCAAGGTGCATGAAGGGGGTCAACAAAGTGGTGAGGTGAAAACTTCAGCAACACTTGAGGTATTTTGAACTAATTTTATTAGCAGCACATGTCTGCTGTTTACGAACCCGAGCCAGCCAAGATCTGAAGGCATCCACCTTTACCCACAGTTTGAATTACGGACATTTTATCTGGAATAATAATTCCAACAATCTCAAATATTTGACGACTACGGTGTAGATAAGTAAAGTTTTTTACTCAGGCTTTTCAATTATCAGCTATCAGATTATGAGGTAAATGATCAACTGATTCTCCTCTAAACATTACAGTAAAATAAACACTTGTTTATCCTAAGGCCTCGTCTTCTATCCCTTAGGAAACATGATCAGTGAGGATCAGTGTTTCACATTCACAGTTGTGAGGACATTGCATTAAAGTGCAAAGCATTTGTCCATTTTACGCTGTCTTAAATATTCTCAGGCTGAATCTGAATCATGCAAACCAAAAAGGACTCTTAAGCATCAGCGGTAGCCATAATTGCTATCTGAATGGTGCTGGCAGTTAGGAAGGAAGTAGGAAGAGGAAGGAGGATGCTTTCTAATAGTTATTAATTTAGCATAGAGACCTCTTGATGCTTCTATCCACCACTTAAAAGGTTTCACTTAATCCTTTGCGTGACAGGATGTATATGCATAGTCCACCTCACAGAATCGAACGAAAATTTATAATTTCTTCACGTTTGTCCATCCATTTTCTTCCGCTTTATCCGACGCCGGTTCATGGAGGCAGCAGTCTAAGCAAAGATGCCCAGACTTCCGATCAACACACACCTCCTCCAGCTGTTCTGGGCGACACCAGGCCAGCTCAGAGACATATGCCCCATTTACACTACCCTTGAAAAACCGTG